GCAATACTTATCAAAATAGCAATGATTTTGTTCAAGGAACTAGAACAATTATCAAATTTATATGGAATTACAAAAGGCCCCCAATAACTAAATCAATCCTGAGAGAAAAGAATAAAAAAGGAGGCATCACATTTCCCTAACTTCAAACCATATTAAACAGCAACAGTAATCAAAACAAAACAAAACAGAAACTCGGACCAACGGAACTGAAAACCCAGAGATAATCCCAAACAAATATTGACAGTTAAACTTTGGCAAAGGAGTTATTGTCAGGCAATGGAGGAAAGATAGCCTTTTAATAAGTGGTGTTGGAAAATATGGATAGTCACTTGCAAAAAATTGAAACAAGACCCATAGTTCATACACAAATATTAATTCAAAATGGATTAGAGATATGCATAAGAACTGAAACCACAAAGTACTTGAAAGAAAATATAAGGGACGCATTATCAGACATCTACTCCAATTATGTATTTGGGGCCTCAACCCCAACAGCAAAGGAGACAAAAGCAAAAATAAGCAATGGACTATAACAAACTTAAAAGCTTTTGTACCTCAAAGGAAATCATCATATAAATGAAATGACAACCTGTAGATGGCAGAAAATATTTTCATATTACACATCTGGCAAGGGGCTAATCTCCAAAATCTACAGTCTCATGCAGTCCAACAGGAAAGAAATAAACAGCCCAACCCAAAGTTGATCAAAGGACTTAACTAAACACTGAAGTAAACATGCAGATGGCCTACAGACACATGAAAAATTGCTCAGTATCACTGATTACAAGGGAAATACAAATCAAAACCACAAATCAAAACCCACTGAGTTACCATCTCAACCCTGTGAGAATGATCCATATAAAAATATGAAATCAGGGCCTCCCTGGTGGCGCAAGGGGTTAAGCACCGCACTATGAAGCAATCCGCAGCCTCTGCAGCACAAGTTCGATCCCCAGCCGGCAAGGGAGCAACCCACATGGTGCAGCAGATCTCTCCTGTCTCGCCCACTGCTCCCCTCAGCCGTGTATCCCAGTCAGTCTGCTTGTTCTGTTCCCCACTCTATCTCTGGTGAATCCTCCCCCACCCACTCCACTGCCCTGCATCTCTGGCCTGTACCCCAGCTCTTGTATGCATAAATAAATAAATATTTAAAAAAATATGAAATCAACAAGTGTTGATGAGGTTGCAGTGAAAAAGGAACTCTCATCCACTATTGGTGGTGTATTCTTGTGGTAATGATATGGTGGTAATAGAATGGTGAATCCTTTTTTTTTTTTAATATTTATTCATAAAAGAGATGGGTGCAGGCCAGAGGTGCAGGGGGTGAGAGTATTAACCAGACAAAGTGGGGAGCAGAACAGGTGGATGTACTGAAATACACTGCTGAGGGGAGTAGTGAGCAAGACAGGAGAGGTCTGCTGCACCATGTGGGTCACCCCCCTGGCCAGGTATCGAACCCATGCTGCAGTGGCTGTGGAGAGCTTCATAGTGCTGACACTTAACCCATTGTGCCACCAGGGAGACCCAGTATGGTAAATTCTTAAGAAAATAAAAATGGAAATTCTGTACAATCTGACAATACCTCTATTAAGTATTTATCCAAATAATATTAAAATGAATATGAAAAGATTTATCTACAGCTATATGCATAGCAGCACTCTCCACAATTGTGAAGTCATTGAGCTGATCCAAGTGCCCTTCACCAAAAAAATGGATAAAGACATTTTGTAAAAAAACAAAAAAAAAAAAAGGAAAAAAAGAAAAATGAAATACAAACATCTGTGAAAAATGGAAATAGTGGCATTTGGGATGGACCTCAAGGTAGTTACATTAAGACATATTGGACTGTTTCACTTGTCTATGGAATATAAATATCAACAACAACAACAACAAAGCACACAGACAAAATACAGTAGGAATAAGTCTTGAACTCAGTGAAAGAATATAATGTTTATACAAGTGAATTGGGTGGGGAGGGAGAAGGTGGGGGAGGGAGGCAGATGGAGTCTTGGTGGTCTGGTGGAGGCTGAGTGGAACATTGCACATATGGAAGAGCAAAAACGTAACCCCAAATATTAAAATAAAAAAATTAAATATATTGGTTCAGCACTTCTTGGTGTGTAAATATTGACATCTTAATATAACTAAAGCTTTGTTTGCTTATCTGAAAAAAGGAATCATTCATTCTGTGACTGGTTTTACTAGTTTCCTTTTAAGTAGGTAACTTATTTCTAAGTAATTAACAGTCACTTAACTTTAGTCTTTAGTTTATTAGCAAAAGGTATATTCAGGGCTTCCCTGGCGGTGCAAGGGGTTAAGCACAGCACTATGAAGCTATCTGCAGCCTCTAAAGCATGAGTTCGATCCCCGGCCCGCCAGGAGCTACCCACATGGTGCAGTAGACCTCTCCTGTTCCCACTCTGTCTCTGGTGAATCCTCTCACCATCACCCACCCCCAGCACCTCTTGCCTGTACCCCAGTTTTTGTATGTACAAATAAATACATATTTTAAAAAAAAGGTATATCCTTCACCTCAATAAGGCATTTGGTTTTGACTGTCAATTTTACAACACACACAAAGGCTCCTGAGTCTCAGTTCCTGCAACAAATACTGGACGGTCTCCTTTAGGTCCATTTCACTGTCAGACTATGGCCTCAGCTGTCATCTGAAATCTACATTTTAAGTGCTAGAAATCAAAGGAGGAGGTTGTAATGGGTCTGTTCTCCCCTTAGGACACTGATGGTGACTCCAGAGCATTTTCTGTCCTGCCTAATCTCCCATCCTGATTTCACTATCTCTTACTCTCCCCTGTTCCCTTCCTTTGAAAGTAGAGTATATGGGAATAAGGGATAAGAAAGGAAAGGGAGATGTTCTTATTTCTGATCAACTCCAGTAAGTTTCAGTAAAACCTCATCTTCACAGGCCCCAGCAAATGTTCAGCGCATTCCACCAGTGTTCACAAATATGTAATCTAGAAGGATACTACGTCAGATTGTTGACCTAGGGCAAGGTCTCCTCGGAAGGAGATGAGAATGTTAACATTCCACATTGCATCTTCTTACTCAGAATACCCTCTCTACTTATCAACTCCTCAGACTGTGTGTTGGAGGACATGGCTTGACTACAGATGTTAGAAATGCAGAATTCTCAGGAAAGGAGGATTGTCTCTCCAAGTGAAAAACACTTGGAAAATTATGGAGGGAGAGTTCAAGTATTCAAATAGATTCAAAATAGGAATGCAAAAAATAAAGCCTTCCTAATATTTAATGTCTGACACCTAATTTATAACTGATATTTTCCAATCATGGAAATATACCAACTAAGAATTGCACACTTATATATTTATATTGTGTCCTTATATATTTAAAATATTTCATTATGATAAAGCTTTATACAAGTTCTTAGGAGTGCAAATCATGTAATAGGATTTTGACATCCTATATTTCTTTTTAAATTTGGCTTTTAAAGAATGTTAGATCTTTTACATTATGACAATTCATAATACTATTTTTGTGTGTATGTAGGAACTGGGCCAGTATCCTCACACTTTATTTTAATAGCCTAGTATATAATAGCTGCTAAAATCTATTACTGGATATGTACTGATATAATTTTTTTTTTTAGAAATGTGTGTCAAGAATAATATTTTTATTTGCTTCTTTGAGATGGAACAAATTTTCTTTTTTTTTGAAAAGTACCTTAACTATTTATTTTATTTTATTTTTTTACATCATTGTTCAGTTTTAAACATTATTTTCTTCCTCCCACCCCCTCAGGTGTAGTCCCCATAGAGTTTCCTTCACCAATGCACCCGTGCACCATCACCTCAGTCCCCTGTGCTCCTCCCTCCCTCCTTCTGATCCCTCTCCCTCCTCCTCCCCTGCAGGGTGTCTCTGATTTTTAGTTGTCCATTTTTGATTTGTTGTGTTTTGTACTGTTACTATATTTTTACACTGATGTCTTATTTGGTTCCCCTATATTCCTGCTTTAAGTGAAACCATCCGATATTTTTCTTTTTCCTTCTGGCTTATTTCACTGAGCATAATTCCTTTTAGCTCCATCCACATTGCTGCAAATGGCATGAGTTTATCTTTTTTGATTGCTGAGTAATATTCCATTGTGTACATGTACCAAATCTTCTTGATCCGGTCATCTATTTTTGGGTTGTTTCCAGGTTTTACCTATTGTAAATAGTGCTGCAATAAACATAGGTGTACAGGTGTTCTTTTGAATCAGTGTTTTTGTGTCCTTTGGGTAGATCCTTAGGAGTGGAATTGCCGGGTGATGTGGTAGCTCCATTTTTAGTAGACTGAAGAACCTCCAGACAGCTTTCCATAGTGGTTGGACCGGTTTGCACTCCCACAAGCAATGTAGGAGAGGAGATGGAACAAATTTTCTTATCTTAGCAATGTTCTATAATAAAAGTACTGGATATCTTGTTCTTCTTTTACAACAAATCCTATTTGAAAAATCTTTCCCAAAGTTTGAGTAGACAAATTAGTATAACCGAAGATCTCAAAGCAAAAAGACCCAGACTATCCCTCATAAATTTAACACAATATATATTTATTTTTTGACCAATAATGATCAGTGAAGATATTTTATTGGCTCCCTGACCTCTTCTGAGTCCTTTGGAGTCTTCCCTCTTCTTAGTGTAAACAGAGAAAAACAGATTCACCTGCTGGGAAGATGGACCTGGATATAGCACACATCTCTGTCTCTCCTAACTTAGAAATCTAGTTTAATGTATACCCAGGGGAAAAAGAAAATAGGTTTTGGTGGACATTCACTCGAGATTTAACAATTACAGAGTGGATCCAGGCAATTTACCATGGATATATCTAGTGTGGTCTACATTTAATCAAAATATAGTGCATTACAGTGTTTCTTTCTTTTTTCAGTTACTTCCAAGCTACTTAGAAATGAAATTAGCTTTAATTTTAGCAAGTGTGTGTGTTAGACTCCTCTAGATTGCAAAGAACAGACACACAGACTCAATTAAGGTGAGTTTATTTGTATTAGTACATAAGAAAGTAAGGAAGATAAGAAAGTAATTCAGTAACTACAAAGTCCAGTTTCACTGTTCAGGAATCATCACTTCAGTAACCTCAGAGCAGATTTGCTGAATGAACAAAAACTCTAATCATTCCAACTAGAAGTAGTTGTGATTTCCATTCAAAGGTTGTACCATTAGGGTGACCTAAGTCTTTCTAGCTCCTATTCACTTATCTTTTATATATCATATTTATACTCCCCAAAGAAGGGCTCTGACTAATTGTGTCAAGAGCCATTTCACAAGAACATCACTGCTGGGTATAATTCTTTCCCTAGCCCATCCCCTGACCTATGACTGAGATGTTTCAAGTCAGGAATTCAACTGTGATACAATTAGCTGTGACCAGCATGGATAGTTCAAATGACAGAATACATGGTTCTGTACATGCTGGAGTTATGGGTAAGATGTCTCTAGGACTCCAGAAAAACTATCCTGCTGAGAACAAAGGAATTTTTGCTCTCAATGGCATTTTCTCATGAAGTGTATTCAAAGTATTTTTCAATACCATAACTTCCTTGAAACTATGGTGCTGTCTTTATTATGTTTTTGGGCGATATTACCCTTAATAACACTTTCTAAAGAAACAGATAATCCGCACTTTTAAATAAATGTAAGTGAAATTATATGTTAAGCTCTGATTCACATGAATATTGTTGGATCATATTTTCTGACTTGCTTTTAAGAACTTCCCATTAATGTTGGACAGTCACATACAATGTCAGTGTTTTTAATCCTGGAAATTGAGGTTATACTCCCAAAGTCTGCTATATACTATGTAAGTACACTATAGATTAGAAACTATGGTTATCAGTCTTTGTGTCTTATAGGAAGCTCAGAATTCTACCTTATGGGAGGCAGTAACATGTCTGAAGCTAAAAGGAATGTTTTTGAGAGCTAGATACTGATTTTTTTAAAAAGGAGAACATTTCTCTTTACAGTTTTTTCTCTAGTATGAAATTAAAATAAATCAAAATCTTAACTCTTACTATTATTTAATTAGAATCTTTGCATATGGTTGGCTATCATCAGACTGTTAGTCCAAAGTAAAAGACATAAAATTGTGGGATTCAGAAACCTCTTTAAAAATCAAGTTATTAATGACTGTTGCAGACTCAGAAAGTTTTCTTTATTAAGCCTTTGCTAAACTCTCCAATGATAGTTTTAAAAAATATGCCTATTTATATTCCTTCTCTTTATAAAGAGGGCACCCACTTATGGACAGAGCATGCATACTTTTTCAGAAAAAGACCTTGCCTCAAATCCAAATTACTTTAGCAAATCCATAAAATTGTATTCCATGTGGGTCTTATAAAAGGCACTGTACTAAACACTTCAAGTATGTTTGACTTGAGTAGAACCTCAACTTTTGCTAAATGAGAAGGCGATTTATGAATTTGGAATAGTTGGTTTGGATGAAGTTCAAGATATTTTCTAAACCTGAGATTCAATGTGGATTTGTTGAGTAGACACTAAGTATATTTAATCATGAATTTCATCCTGGAAAGAAGAAAGTGTGGTGGGTAAGAAGGACAGGTAGCCTTTACTGTCATCTAGTCACACTGAATGCTTTCTCTGTCACTGTGCCAGAATGTAAAATCTGAACTCTACAATGGTTGTTCCACTAACAATTATTATTTATTTCTTTATTTAATACCAATACATATTGGAAACAAACTTTCTTTCTTTTTTTTTTTTTAACAGAATAGGAATGGGGTTTTAAAGATGCTTTGTCAAGTGATACACAGAGGTGGTGCCGTAGTTCATTGGATCAGTTGCATTTGTCTTTTATCACATGGAGGGCAGATTGGATACTGATGGGACACTGGTTTATTTCTAAGATCAAGCTGAGAAGAAAAAAATCTCACAGAATGAAAAGATCCAAGCATTTGGTTATATGAAAGTTTGGAGAATTCAAATTCAGCCCTTTATCACACCAATTTATTTAGGGATTTGAAGGTTAGTATATAGATATGTCCAGGTACAACTCTATTCTGCTTATAACAGAATTAGAAGTTTAGTTGTTTAGCATAGCAAAAGGAAATGCAAAGTAATCTATTGTATCTCATTTCTTTTCACCAAACTGCCAATAAAGCATAGGTGATCAGTGATCCTTTTTAGAACTCTGTAAGTACAAGACTGCTAATAAGTCAAAAATTAGAAAATATGGTCAAGAAATTTCTGAAGAATATCTACTAAGTCACTATAAAATGCAATATCTTCATTATTCATCCAAAGATGAGAATTTCTTCAAATGGGAAAGGTGGTCTATGAACTGGGGTTGACTTTAGGGCTATTAAAAAGTCTACAAAAAATTTAGATCAATAATGCAAAAATGAAAACTATTTGGTTGCCAACAGGAAAGAAAAGATGTTAAATCATAACAAGTGGCAAAATGCTGAATATGGATTAATTTAGTCAATTTACCTCAGGTGAAATGGACATTATATTTCTCCTTAGATTTATAAATGAAGTATACAAGTTCAGTGAAAATAAGTATAGAAAAGCCAAAAATCAAGCATTCATCCTCAATATATGGGGCTGTTTATAAGAGACTGAGTTTTAAAAACCAGCAGAAAAGTGTCTTTCATTACAGAAGGTAACTGTTGCAAGTGAAGGCAGCTTTTTACATTCTTTAAATATTGAAAATAATGGAAAGAATTTTGAACAGAGAAGCTCACAAATGATCATAGATATGAAAAAAAAAAAAAAAGCAGATTTGGAATAGAATTACTGAGACATATGGACCCCGGGTCTGATCTAACCTAGAAATTCTTATAATATTTTAATTTTTTCCACTGTGCTTTGGCTCAATAAAATTTTCTAAAAATGAACAGAAACACAAAAGTGAGTCAAATTCACTTCAAAATAACCACAGGCTGGTGGGAAATGAGTTTCTGTCAGATCCGGTTTCAGCGAGGCACTTTAACACAATAGTAACAGCAGTAACAAAACACATTTTTAATAGGGCAAGATCAGCCAAAATGTGATCAGACCCATTTTGATATGAACCCAATCGGAAATGAAAGGAAGAACAGTGTACACCCAGTCCAAATGAAAAAGTGGTGTCCAGAACTACACAGAAGCTGTTTCCCGCTGTTCTTTCATTTACTGGGTCTACTTTATCTTCCTAAAAGTCAAAGTACTTTTTGAAAACTTTTCTTAAAAGTCAAACTACTTTGAGTTCTTAAAAATATTAGTTTTCATTCTGTGTTCCACAGGACATTGGAAGGTTTTTTAAAAATGGTGGGGACATGTGCAGAGTGCTTCATTACTATACTATCATTTTTGGGTGCTCGAAGTATGGCATTTACAGAGCATAAAATCCAGAATGGTCACTGCCTCTCCAGTGGTTTTATAGACTGTGATTCAATTATTTGATATACTAGTGGCCAATGCAGTGCCATAGAGGCCAGCAGTGTTGATGCCTGACAGTGTGAGTCAATGAGTTGATTCAGTGGTGATCAAACTTGCATGATTTGGAGGCTAGCAGGCTGCCTAAAAACTGCTGATGTCAGTTAATGTGCAAGTTTTCAACTGAAGGACCATCAGAAGATCCTATTGGACTTCACAGTAAGCAGCCATATTCTCATACAGTCAATCACTGTTTAAATTCAATGCTTGAGAATGAGTAAGGCACTAGATTAATGTTAGTGACACAGAAATCTAAAATGTTATCTCAAATTGTGTTTATCAGTGTCCTCCTTTTTGCTCCTCCTCCTTTGGAAATAATTCCTGGAATATTTAAGGGGAGAAAATGGAGTTACTAGAAAACTCCTCATAACTTCTGGTGGGAACATACATCAGATAAGCTCAAATTAAAGGGTTTTCATTTTGTTTTTTTGCCCTCAAAAAATAATTCCTGGGATGTTTACGGAGGAAATTGAAAGTTAGTAGTCTATTTAGCAGGTGCAATGTAAAAGAATGGAAACTGTTTCTTGTGGGGGTAGACAAAGCATCCAAATGAGAAAGACAGTTCTGTAAAATTAAAAGTTCTCTCAGGAGACAGGGCACATTGATGACATTGTCTGCAAAAGGACTATTTTCCTGGCTGCTCAGAAGACCAGCACTGCTTCCTGGAGTCAGTGAACTGGCTGTTGCCGCCTGGATGACCCTGAAGAGATGGGCTTCTGGAGAAACTAGAGCTCTGCTGTGGGTGCATGGCAGAAATCCCCAGACATGTTTCCTGATGCTACCACTCTGATGAGCCTCAGAGGGAAATGACAATGATGGTCATCTCAGAAAGGACAAAGTTCTCTCCTAACACATGTAAAACATAGTGGCAGTGAAGAGGCCCATTAAATCAAGCCTATACATGTGCCATGGCTGTGACAGATACTCCAGGAGACACTGAGAACTGTCAGGAAGCAATCATCTCTTCTCCATTTAGATATCATTTCAGGTTCTTTTTCTTTGCTCCATAGTAAGCTTGGTATGTTTGTTTCTACATCTAATCTTTGCTTTCTGTCTTTTTAAAAATCATCTATAGAGACGACACCTGAAGGAAGATCAATGATATACAAAAATGAAAAAAAAAATAAATTTAAAATAATTATCAACAAAATTAAATTTACTGAGATGATGGGCAGGATAACTCTCTACTCAAACAAGGATTAGGCGCATGGGAAATATGTAAATTCTTATGGGCTGACCATTATTGATGTAGCATTTCATTAAGAATTCCCCAATAATTCATAAAAAAATAAACAAACCTACCCTTCAAAATACGTCTCTCTTCACTGCCTGGTGAAATATCCAGTAATATAGTACTTGAAAACAACAAGAAAGGAAGTTATGTGATCACTAGATGATCAATAATAGCCATTCTACACCACGTGAACCCACTGGTTAAGATACATTGGATTCTCCATCACTCTGGTAAATTAGATAGCAAGTCTGTAGAAATTTTAAAAATATATATATATTATTGATTGCTTTTCCTGGCTCTGATGCAATTTATGTAATTTATGCCAAAGTGACCCAATAAAACAAAGTTCCATTGACATGATGACAATCCAGATCTCCAGCAGTGTTTTGTGTTGCTCTCTTCTCATCCACATTGGTCACTGGATGCTGTGCATGTTTTCCCTTCTCCATTCTTAGAGAGAACCTGGTGTTGATTATGCCAGGAGAGCGCAAAGATTATTTCAAGAAAAAGAATGTACATCAGAATGCTTAGCATTTATATAGGTTCTTTTGATTTCAAAACAAGTTATAAATATTTCCTACCATAACAACATCTTCACGAGGTAGGTATTTCTGTCCCTACATTACCAATAGAAACCCCAGACCAAGGAGTGTAGGACTCTTCTGGCCCAGAGAGAATCAGGAGCAGCCTTCAGACTGGACATTCTGATGGCTGCCTGCTCCGGGCTCTGAAGAGGCCATGTCTCTCTCTTGTGTAGCAATGGTCTCCATTAATATAAGGTTAAATATTGTATAGATATAAAACGACACACAATGACATTATAGAACAATAGTTCAATATTCTGGTTTCTTAGTAAAATATGTGAAGCACAGTATTTAAATTGCATTTCTCTGAAAAGCATTTGGTATATTAAATAGCAGAAGTTATATTAAATAGCTTTATAAACTTTTCTGGCAAACTCTTAGCAGCATAATGATTCTAAAGAAATTAAAATTCACTGATACATATCTGTCCTTTATAGTAGCAGAAACTAAACAAATATGTGAAAACTACTGTATTTTCATTATGCAGACCTAATAGCTTGCTGAATTTTAGCATGTGGCTACATAATATTTTTTGAGTTTGAAAGAAGGGACATCTATTGCTGGTTGTGGTTTTAAAATATCAATTTGATAGGCAAAATGAAGTTTAAAGGTGAAAATTGAAGACTGCTATTTTCCATTTTGTATCCATTCTGAGGAATTCTTACATTTTCAAGAGACATTATTACTTAGAACTAATTGTCGGTGATTTTAGGGACTTTACATAATAAGGACTTTTGTGGAAAGAGAAACTGATAAAAAATTATAGTACTAGAAGAAAATAGCAGGAGACAAGAAATGATATTTTTCAAGAGTCTTGACAACTGTCATAAGAGATAAGTTGTTGTTCATGCTTAAATGACTGAATATGTTTTGGAAATGGTTTACAAGGATAAATACTTGAATTGATCAGTCTCTTCTGTAGGGCAGAATCCTCACTGTTCTCTCTAAGTCAGCAGTTCTCAGAATGGTGTTAAAGAGCTTACCTCATGCTAAGCTGCCTAATAACTGACCAGGTGGGTCAGCGGAAAGAGTTCTAAAATGAGAAAGAAGAAGCATAAAATTGTAAAATTTGTATGTAAACATAAAAACTAACTTCTAAGCTAAAATGACATTCTCTGTCAGAAGTAACATATACAAAAGTCTTAAATTTAGTGTACACACCACTAAGATATTATTAGATATTACATGTCATTCAGAGAGTATTTATTATAAGTGTGCTTTTTTTCCCCTAAAAAAGACATATTAAATCATTTTCTCTCCTCAAGTCCTTTTTATATAAATATGAAATACAGTCAGTCCTATCAATTTGCTCAGCCATTTATACATTTGCTGGATCCTTCCCACTAATGTCTGTGGCAGTTTTGTCTGATGGTGCTTTGAGTTTGAATAGGCTTGAACAGTTTGGCTGTTTCATTGGCTGCAAGGTTCTGGCATAAGGTGAATACCAGTCCCTCTCAAACACGTCTTTAAGTTGTTTAATGATGCTCCTGTTGTTCCTCACATCTGCTTGGTTGATGACAAGGCCTGTGCCAGCATTCTGGGTAAAATCATTCCCTACCCAGTCGAAATTTCCTGTAAGCAAGCAAAGGAAATCATGGTGAATTATTAAGATCCACTGGGGAATATTCCCTATGTAAGGAAATATGGAGCAGATTCTATTAAAAAAAAAGAAAGTAAGATAAACATCCAGGAATAACTACAGGGAGACTGAATTGTAGTGACAGCTTAGGGGGAAAAAAAAATCCCAAGAAGCCTTACATATGGCACATTAATATTTATATATTATTTTGGCATTTTCTTCAGCTTTACTCAACTTGAAACTCAAAACAAGGAATCTGCTGTTCTTTTTTGTAAATGTTATTTCTTATTGACATTCACAAGACACACTAAATACAGAAACATTTAAAATATATAGGAATAAACTTAAAAATCTTGTGAATAATTACTACCTTCTCAAAGAGACAACATCTAATCCATATGTACAAACGAGGGATTCTAATTATAATACTCAGAAGCCTTCACATCAAAAAATAAGCCAAAGCCAGAGAAGGAGAGCCAGTTTCCATCTGAATACACAAGACACCCCTTGCTTGTGCTATAAATCATCTCCCAGTTCCAGAACCAAGGTCCTTGGTGCAGGAATCAGGAGAGTTGCTGTGACACAGGCTCCCCAGGATGGTTGCCTGGTGTTAGGTGGGGTATTAGTTTGCTAGGGCTGCTGTAACAAAGCACCGCAGATTGGGTAACTTAACAGAAATTTATTGTTTTAAAATTCTGGAGGCTAGAATTTTAGAAAGAAATCAAGGTGTCTGAGGATTAGCTTCTGCTGAGGGCTATGAGGGACGATCTCTTCAGGTGTCACTCATAGGCTTGCAGGCAGCTGTTTTCCCTGTCAATGTTTGTGTCAAACTTTCTCCTAATCCAGGCAAATTGGATTAGGGTTCACACTAGTGATTTTGCCTTCATTTCCTTCATCTCCAAACGAGAGATATTCTGACATATGGGGATTAGAACCTCCACATAGAATTCTGAGAGACACAATCCAGTCCATAATGGGGAATAAAGCCTTCTGGGGACTAGCTCCACAAGGAGTTAATCATTGTCTATACCACTCACACATGTGATCTTTGCCCCTCATTGAACACATTATTTGGTATCTACTGTCTACAACATACTAAAAATGTAGTTCCTGCCATTAAGGCATCGAGGAAAAAGCAGAAATAGTTATAATATAAAGCATATGATGTGGTATGTGCATATACAGTGCCGCATGGCAGAAGGAAGGACTTTCTAACTCTGACTAGATATGTCAAGGAAGGTGCAATTTGTTGAGAAATGAGAGATGCATACAAATTCATTAATTAGGAAATTCGGGGGTCAAATTCCAAAGGCAAAATGACATGATTGTGGATAAGAGCTATGATTAGGCTCTTGGAGCATGGAAGGGGAACAACTAGGGTGAGGTCAGGACATGAGGAATTTAAAGGGTTAGATGATCAATTTAAATGCCTATTATGAGCCAAGCAGTATAACTGATACTTGTATACATTATGTCATATGATTGGTAGGATTTACACCCATTTTACAGATGAGGGAATGAGGTTCAAAGAGATAAGTAAATTTTTCTTTTAAAAAATGTATTATTTTTAATGAAGCAATGTTAGTACACAGCATATATGAATCAGAGGACTAGGTTCACACCTATTCAGATGATCAATCTGTGGATGTAACCATCCTTGTCCCTGCAATAAATTCCATTTGGTCTTGATGCATGGTTCTCTTAATGTATTGTTGAATTTAGTTTGTTAAGAATTTGTTGAGGATTTTTACATGTTCAACAATTTCAGTGGTCTGTAGTTTTCCTTTTCAGTAATGTCCTTGTCTGCTTTTGGTATCAGAGTTATGCCGGTCTCATAAAATGTGTCTGGAAGCTTTCCCTCTTCTTCAACTTTTGGGGAGACTTTGATTGATTTTCTTATTCTTTGTTAATTTTTTGATAGTATTTGATTTCTACCCTTAGTTCCTATACATCTCCCACCACCACATCACCTGGGAACTATCACCATGGTCCTTTGTGCTCTTCCCACCACTATTTTGACCGTTTTTCCTCCTTCTCCCCTGCTGTATGCCTCAGATCTATGATCAGCTTGCAAGTTATGTATTATTTCCTGCTCCTTTGTCGGTTTCTCTAGGTACCACATGTAAATGAAACCATCGGGTATTTTTCTTTCTCCTTCTTGCTCACTTTGCTTAGAATAATCCCCTACAGCTCCACCCATGTTGCCACAAATGGCATGTGTTTGTCTTCTTTGATCACTGAGTGGTATTCCACTGTGTATACTTACGCATCTTTTTTTTTTTTTTTAAGATTTATTTATTTATTTATACAAGCACTGGGTACAGTCAGAAGTGCGGGACGGTGAGAGAAATCACCAGAGCCAGAGCAGGGAGCTGAACAGGCAGAAGGACCGAAGTACACTGCTGAGGGGAGCAGCGGGCGGCAGGAGAGGTCTGCGCGCCATGTGGGACCCTCGCCTGGCGGTCGGGATCGAGCCGGCGCTGCAGAGGCTGTGGGCAGCTTCGCAACCCAGCGCTCAACCACTGAGCCACCAGGGAGGCCCATTACCACATCTTCTTGATGCAATCATTTGTTTAGGGGAATTTCGTTTGTTTTCACATCTTGGCTATTGTAAATAGTGCTGCAGTTAAACATTGGAGTGAGAATTTCCTTTCAAATTTGCGGTTTTGTGTTCTTTGGGTAAGAGTAGAATTGCTGGATCATATGGTAGCTCCATTTTTAGTGTTTTAAGGACCTTCCACACAGCTTTCCATAGACCAGTTTGCATTTCCACCAGCAGTGTAGGAGGATTCCTTTTTCATCAGCATTTGTTTTATTTATTTTTATATTTTTTTAATATGGGTCATTCTGATAGGTGTGAGGTGGAATCTCACTGTGGTTTTGATTTGCATTTCCCTAATAAAAAGTGATGTTGAACATTTTTTTACATACCTGTTGGCCATTTGTACTCTTTCTTTGGAGACATGTTCTGCCCATTTTTGATTAGGTTGTTTGCTTTTTTAAAAATTTTTTTTGGTTGAGTTGTGTGAGCTCTTTGTAGATCTTGGACATCAGTCCTTTATCAGATATGTGGTGTGCAAATATGTTCTCCCATTCAGTAGGATGTATCTTTGTTTTGGTTACTGTCTCTTTTGCTGTACAGAGCTTTTAATTTGATGTGTTCCTTGCTGTTTATATTCTTTGTTTTCCTTGTTCCGGAGATGAGTCCTCAGAGATGTTTCTGCAATGTATGTCATGGAGTGTTTTGTCTTTTTCCTCTATATATTTTATGGTTTCAGGTCTTACATCCAAATCTTGTATCCATTTTGAGTTGATTTCTGTGCATGGTGTGAGATAATAGTGTAGTTTTATTATTTGCATGTGGCAGTCCAGTTTTCAATTTTTGGGAATACTTTGAGGATAGGTATTAATACATCTTTGAAAGTTAGTAGAACTCATCTGATCTTCGACTTTTATTTTGTGGGACTTTTGATTACTGTTTTAATTTCCTTGCTTGTCAGCAAATTCTGTTTCTTCCTGATTCAATCTCATAAGTTTGTATGTTTCTAAAATCTTGTCCATTTCTTCTAAACCATCCAATTTATCAGCATAGATGTTCATAGTAGCCTATTGTGATCCTCTGTATTTCTGAGGCATATGTTGTAATTTCTCTTTCATTTCGGATCTTATTTTGTAGTGTTTTCCCTTTTTTTCTTTTCTTTTGTGAACCTAACTAGGGGCTTTTCCATTTTGTATACAATTTTGAAATAACCAGCTCATTCCTGGTTTGTTTCCTCGATCTTTTGTACTGTCTTTTTGATTTTGATTTTATTCATTTTTATTTTCTTCTGTCCAATGACTTTTGGTTTCATTTGTTCTTCTTTTTCTATTTCCTTTTTTTAAAATTATTATTATTTTTTAAAAGATTTATTTATTTATTTATACATGCACTGGGTACAGTCAGAAGCACGGGAGGGTGAGAGAATTAACCAGAGTCAGAGAGGAGAGCAGAGTAGGCAGAAGGACCAAAGTACACTGCTGAGGGGAGCAGCGGGCAGCAGGAGGGGTCTGTGCACCATGTGGGACCCTCCTCCAGTGGCCGGGGAGCAGCCGGGGATGGAACCGGCGCTGCAGAGGCTGCAGGCAGCTTCGCAACCCAGCGCTCAACCGCTGCGCCACCGGGGAGTTCCTTTTTCTATTTCCTTAAGGTATAAATTTAGATTATTTATTTAAGGTCTTTCTTGTTTCTTGATTTGTGCCTATGTTTATTTCCCTCTTAATGTGGTTTTTGCTGCATCCATACATTCTTGTAGCTCATGCATTTTCATTTATATTCAGTTTTTTTAATTTCTTTTTTAATTTCCTTTTTATACCAATCATCATTAAGGAATATGTTGCTCAGTCTCCACCTATTAGAAGTTTTACTGCTTTCTTTTTGTGGTTTATTTGCAGTTTGATACTATTATGATCAGGGAAGAAAAGATGTGATTTCAATATTCATGTATTTATTAACATTTGTTATGTACCCAATGTGTGGTCTATTTTCAACAATGTTCCATATACAGTTTATAAAAACATGTACTCAGTGTTTTGGGATGCAGTGCCCTATAAATTAAAATTTAATGGAGCAATAATTTCAGGCAAGGTCTAGTGTGGACTTTTCTTAATTTGACTTTTGCAGCCAAGGTCTAGGTGAGGACTTCAGTGATTTCCAGGACATGCTGACAGTTGTTTAAATTAACAATATAATTTGTTTCCTGTGGCTCTTTAAATATTTTTATACCAGTACTAAGCTATACTCTAGGTAATTAATGATGTGCTAAAATGGTACTGTAAAATAATTTTAAAACTTTATAATAACCAAGAAACAGACACACATAAGTATAATTAACTGATCTTGACAAAGGAGCAAAGGGGGGAAAAAAACCCACTTATTTTAAATGACTACACATTCATTTGAAAATAAAAAGAAATCTACAAAGGACCTTACATCCTTCACAATAATCCAACTCAT